AAAAAAAAAGTAGGGGTGCAACCTGTTGTAGGTTCTTGGAAGTGGGCCTTGGAGCTTCCCTGCTGTGACTCTAGGACATGTCCTCACAAGACGATCATTTCTTATGTGCCTTTCCTGCAGACATTGTTTGCAAACTTTGCATCACATAAAAATACAGTCCTTGGCAGGAAGTAGCAGCAGCTTAGCGTTATCAGTTTTCTGAGTCTTTCTTAACATCTCCTTATTTAAACACCCCCTAAGTTGAAGTTGCCACGGGGTCTTCCAACCAGTTGCACATATGTGTAAGACACCAACAGGATTCTGACAAAGGTGTTGTTGTCGTTGTGTGCCTTCAAGTCATTTCCAAGTTATGGCAACCCATGAGGATCCTATCATGGGGTTTTCTTGGCAAGTTTTGTTCAGAGGGAGTTTGAAATTGCCTTCCCCTGAGGCTGAGAGAGTGTGATTTGTCCAAGAACAACCAGTGGGTTTCCATGGTCAAACTGGGGATCGAACCCTGGTCTCCAGAGTTGTAGTCCAACAAAAAATATTGCGTACAAAATTACCTTCAGGCTATGTGTATAAGGTATAAAACATGCGTATACACACAAATTTATGTGTATAAAACATACATCAATTCCATGTTTAGACTTTGGTCCCATCTCCAATATATCATAGTTTTGTTGTCGTTGCGTGTCTTTGAGTTGTTTCCAACTTATGGAGACGCTAAGGGAAACCTATCATGGGGTCTTCTTAGCAAGCTTTATTCTGAGGAGGTTTGCCTTTGCCTCCCTATGAGGCTGAGAGTGTGTGACTTACTCAAGGTCAACCAGTGAGTTTCCATGACCAAGCAGGGATTCAAACCCTGGGTGCCAGCCACCATCCTGTCTATCAATGCAATACTACACCATCCTGACTTGTAGCTATTTCCACAAAGGAATCTCTCACAATGAGCTTCAACAACAGAGTTAAGTGCCTTGTGAGGTCCCAAAAATGCATGATTCCACACATGCAACCTGCTTATTCCCAGCTATAAGGGTCTGTTCCTAGGCTCTTCATGCATCTGATGGGAGTAGAATGAAGTCTCCAAAGGTTTATGCAACCAACGCCTTTCTCTCAGTTGGTCTCAAAGGTGCAACAAGATCCCTTTGCAGACTGATTTTCCAGACCAACACGCCTCTCTCTGCCTGTGAATTCATGATTCCAGTTCATCATAAGGACTAACTAACTATTCTGTCCCATTATCCTGTTACTTTATTTATACCACTCCTCCCTTTGCCCCAAAGCTAAGACTCCAGGCAGCTTACAAGGTAAAAAAAGAAACGCCAATAAAAACAATGCAGCTATTACAATAATATTAAAACTGCACACAGAGTTAAAGCCACAAGAACAAAAGTTAGCAGAGCACACTCTGAAAAAGTCCTTTACATGTAAAACAATCAGTTCCGAAAAACGAACTGGAATAACAAAGACTTGACAATGAAAGGACAGCAAGGAGAAGGAAGACACAACATGCATCCGCACTGCAGAAATAATCCAGTTTGACACCACTTTTTCTGCCACGGCTCAGTGCTGATGAATTCTAGGAATTGTAGTTTTAGGAGACATTTAGCCTTCTCTGTCAGAGAGCTCTGGTGCCAAAATCCCAGGATTCCCTAGCACTGAGCCATGGTAGTCAAAGTGGTGTCAAACTGGATTATTTCTGCAATGCGGATCCAGCCACAGAGCCTGGGAGCAGCCATGGGGAAGGGATGCATGTGTGAATGATGACAAGCCATGCTCAGCCAAGATGCAATACAACAGCTGGGTCAAAGCAATAACAGAGACAGAAAGGATATACAAAAAAGGGTCAAAAGATGGGCTTTTGAGGGTTGGGAAACCTTGAGAAGGAGAATCCAGAATGGGCAAGAGTCTTTGCAGTTTTGGACTTATTCTATACAAAAATGCATGTGGGTTTGTGGGTGTGTTTTGGAACAGAAAATGGCCAGAAAACAAATCTACGCAAACAAACAACAACCCTATTTTCTATGCAATAAATAATAAATATCTGTACATAAAATACAAGTCTTCTTCAAGGGCATCCCCATATAGGGTGCATTACCGTAGTCTAACCCAGAGGATAGCAGCCCATGGACTACTATGGCTAGTAGTATTATATTAGACTAGGAAAAGTTATAGCTGGTGCACCAATCAAAGGTGATGCCAAGCGTTTTGAGCCACAAAGCCCACTTGGGTCTCCAGTGACAGCAGTGGTTAGCACTTGGATGGGAGACCGTCAAAGAGCATCAGGTGCTGTTAGGCTATATTTCAGAAGGAAGAATTGGCAAAACCTAAGAAACCCTATGAAAAATCCATAATGTCACCATAAGTCAACAGGAGACTTGAAGGCCCACTGTTGTTGTTGTTGTTGTTGTGTGCCTTTAAGTCATTTCAGACTTATGGCGACCCTCAGGAGAACCTATCACGGGTTTTCTTGGCAAGATTTGTCCAGAGGAGACTTGCCATTGCTTTCCCCTGAGGCTGAGAGAGTGTGACTTGCCCAAGGTGACCCAGTGGGTTTCATGACTGAGCTGGGAATTGAACCTTGGTCTCCAGAGTCATAGTCCAACACTCAAACCGCAACACCACACTGGCTTTTGAAGGCCCAATTGCTGTTGTTGTGTGCCTCCAAGTCATTTCTGACTTATGGCAACCCTAAGCTGAACCTATCAGGGGTTTTCTTGGCAAGATTCTTCAGAGGGGGGTTGCCATTGCCATCCTATGAGGCTGAGAGTGTGTGACTTGCCCAGGGTCACCCAATGGGTTTCCATGGCTGAGTTGAGAACTGAACCAGGGTCCCCAGAGTCATCGTCCAATGTTCAAATCCATGCTGGCTCTTTGCGCACACCCTAAAAGCACTAGACCCTCCCCAGCTTATCTTGGAAGCTAAGCAGGGTTAGCACTGGTTAGCACATGGATGGGAGGCCGCTAAGGAATACCAGGTGTCGTAGGCAGTATTTCAGAGGAAGGAACTGGCAAAACCTCCTCCGAGAAGTCCTTGGCTAAGAAAACCTTAAGAAATTCATGTGGTCACCATAAATTGAGGGGTAAATTGAAGGCACTCAGACACAGACACAAAAAGGGAGCCTGTGTTCAGTTCAATTTTGTCTGATCCCGCAAGGAAAGAGGCTTCTCTGTCTCCAATTTTTGTAATAACATTGTGTTCCTACCTTTTGACTTTGATTCTTGAGTGCCACAGGAGGAGAAGAGCCTTTCCCTCACTGTATCCCCTGTCATATATTCCCTTCCTCTATGCTTTTGAAAGATTTTACATCCACTTAATATTGAGCACCTGGAGGAAGGACTGGATCAATTACTAGCACCTAGATGTAATACTTTCAATTTTATTTTATTTTTTCCCTGTGAGGATGAGAAAATATATTTGCCACAGATTGAGAACAAGGGTACAAACCACCCCCAAAAATGTATTTTTTAAAATTCAATGCACCAAAGTGTCTGCAGGTGTGTATATATAAAGTTGTGAGATTGAAATTATATATATTCTCATCAAACTTTCTGTGACAACGGATGAAGGGATGAAAGAGAATCGAGAAGTACACGCAGCAGCCTTCTGAATTTGAATAATGAATCCAATTAGGATTTCCCATTATAGATATAAGTGCTGATGAAAACTTACACGGAACAGGGAAATACTGTAGTCCAAAAAAGGCTTTGGGAGTTATAGAGGTCTCATCTGCACTGCAGAAATAATTTGGTTTGACACCACTTCAATTGCTATGGCTCAATGCGATGGAGTTATGGGATTTGTAGTTAGTTGTGGCACCAGAGCAAGGATGGGGGGTACCTGCTCACTTGGCTATTTTGGCAACTGTGATCCAAAAATGTCACTTTTCCAAGCCACAGTTCTCAAGATTTGGGCCTTGACTTGAGACTTGAAGGCAGAGACCCGAGACTTGACTTGGAAGTATCTTGCAAGGACTTGAGACTTGACTTGAAAGTGCCTTCCAAGAACTTGAGACTCAACTTGAGACTTTACTTGAAAGTGCCTTCCAAGGACATGAGCTTTGACTTGAGACTCAACTTGGAAGTATCTTGCAAGGACTTGAGACTTGACTTGAGACTCAACTTGAGACTTCACTTGAAAGTGCTTTCCAAGGACATGAGCCTTGACTTGAGACTTGAAGGCAGAGACTTGAGACTCGACTTGGAAATATCTTGCAAGGACTTGAGACTTGAAGGTAGAGACTTGACTAGAAAGTATCTTGCAAGAGACTTGATGAGACCTGAAGGTAGAGACTTGAGACTTGACCTGAGACTTGGAGTAAAAGGCTTGAATACATCACTGGGTGTTTGCATGAAGTCAGTCTCATCTTGCAAGGTGTGGAAATTGTCCACATTGCAGAGGCTTCACTTCTGTTCCCATGTTGCCTTTTGATTTGGGTGAAGAATAGGCACCTGTGCCCAAATGGCCACACCTTGGGTTTAATGCCCAAGACTCAACTCAACTTATCCATGCATGGGGCTGCCGCTTCTTGTGTGTCTCAATCTGACCCTTGTTTACTCTCCTGAGACCTTTTCATTTACCCCACACAAATGAATGGAGGGTTCACTTAGACTAATGGTTCCCAAACTTTGGTCCTCCAGGACTTGGCCCAGCTGTTGGCCAAGCTGGCTGGGGCTTTTGGGACTTGAAGTCCAAAAAACATTGAAGAACTTAGGAATCAAAGACAATAGTGGGGAACTACATGGGGGGAATTTTTACCCATGTAGCCCCATCCATGATCCAAACCAGTGCAGCTGGGAGCACTGGAAGTGAAGTCAAATTTCTGGATGAGGAGCGTGTGTGAAGCAAACCATCACATTTGTGCAAGGTTTGGGGACATTTTTTGAGCAGAAAAAAGCCCGCAGGACATCCTTCTTCTTCCTCATCCCTGATTTTGGGAAACCAATTCTGTTTGGACCAATCTTCAGGGTAACAACCTGGAAATGCACACAAGCACTTTCCCTTCACTTGGGCCTCTCCGAATATCTTGCAAGTAGGTAAGGGATCAGATATCTGTATCCATATAACCACATGCATAAATCAGCTCATTTCATAATGCCATTGTGGCAGCAGCGGAGTCCCTGCTCTCTTTTATGTTTCAAGTCACACAAATCTGGGATGTAAAAACCGGCATTTGGAGCAAAAGCGCTTCCTATTAAACAAATCCCCCACCCGGTATCTCTGCGTGTTCCTAAATCTCCCAAAGGGCCCAGATCTGCCGGCTGGAAGAGCTCCTCTTCCTTTGCAACGCATAGCACCAGGAAGGATGAATCCCTATTACCCAAGCAAGGTGTGTGTGTGTGTGTGTGCAGAGGAAACCCACAACTCAAACACAACCTTCCCACGGCCTTCTTCCTTCGTTCCCCGTTGCCACGTCTTTATTCCCTGCTTCCTTTCATTTGGAGGGCCGTAATAGTCAAAGACTTTCAAACAGCGCACCTACATTGCTCAGCTTCCCTCCATTTTCCTGGGAAATTAGTTCCCAAACTTTGGTCTCCCAGATGTTTTGGACTTCAGCCCCATCATTCCTGACTCTTGGCCAAGGTGGCTAGAAGACTTATGGGAGTTGAAGTCAAAAATACCCGGAGG